CTTTACAGTGATAAATAAACCTATATTTGAAATCTTCAAGTCTTCGATTAAAACAGGAGTTGTACCAGACAAGTTAAAAGTAGCTAAAGTAGTACCAATATTTAAAACAGGTGAATCATACTTAATTAATAACTATAGACCTATCTCGGTACTCCCTACCTTCTCTAAGCTTCTCGAACGAGTAATCTACAACAGATTGTACGAGTATTTAATCCAAAATAAAATCCTAAATAAAAAACAATTTGGCTTCCAAAAACAATATTCGACTGAACACGCAATCCTAGATCTAATTAATAGTATAAGTGATTCTTTTGATAAAAAACAATATGTTCTGGGGATCTTTATAGACCTGTCAAAAGCCTTTGACACAGTAAATCATAATATCTTACTTAAAAAAATGGAAAGCTATGGAGTAAAAAACATCACTCTTGACTGGTTCAAAAACTACCTAAGCAATAGGCAACAATGTGTTATTTCAGACAATTATAAACACTCAAAACTACTAAGAATAGAGTGTGGTGTCCCCCAAGGTTCCATTCTTGGACCCCTTCTGTTTCCTCTATATATTAACGACCTTACAAAAACCTCGAAAAAACTTGATGTTATAATGTTTGCCGACGACACAAATTTATTTTATTCCTCGAACTCAATCAAAAACCTTTATGAATGTATGAACAAAGAGCTTGAAAAATTAAACATCTGGTTGAAATTAAAAAAGTTATCACTAAATACAGAAAAAACATAATATATATTGTTTCATTCCAAAAAACAAAAAAATAATATACCAACTATACTTCCCCCACTAAAAATAGATAAGGTAAACATTAAAAGAACAGAAACAACAAAATTTCTTGGGATACTTATTGACGAAAATATAACTTGGAGAGCCCATATTAGTACAATAAACACCAAAATTTCAAAAAATATTGGGATACTTTACAAAGTTAAACCTATGTTGTCCCAAGATAATCTTAAATCTCTTTATTTTTCTTACATCCAAAGTTATCTTACGTACGCTAATATTGCATGGGCAAGTACACACAAATCCAAGTTAAATACTCTTTATTTAAGTCAAAAACATGCATCAAGATTAGTTTATAATAAATATAAACTCACCCATGCTGAACCTTTACTAAAAACCCTAAATGCACTGAATGTTTACCAAATCAACATCTATCAAAATATTCTTTTCATGCTTAAATACAATCTTGGACTAGTCCCATCGCATTTTTTAGATAACTTTTTTCAAATTAACTCTAATAGATATACCACAAGAGCAACAGGGAACTTCACATTACCAAAAAAAACAACAGAGTTCTCACGATTCTCTATTTCCTACCGGGGTCCGTACCTATATAACAAAATAATATCCGAAAATATAGAACTTAAAACATTAAATAATTCTGCCACCTTGAAAAAAAAATTAAAACACCTTATACTTAATATCAAAAATTTTATTGACATGTATTAAACTTAACAACAAGATTTATACTAAAATGTTTATGTGTATCACTGACTGTGTATTGTTTAACCACTTTTAACTATATATAAAAATTAATTAAATTTATTTAACCATTTGAAAAGGTACTTGATGATAAGACTTCATAGTCTACTGCGAGTCTCCTTTACAACAACATGTTTATATTTGAAGAAACAATAGTTTTTATTTAAAAAAAAAAACAGTGTTTATTAATCTAACGTTATGTTTTATTATAATTGTTAAATTACGTATTCTTATGTTATATATTTTACTCTTTGCATTAAATTATATGATAGAATTGTAACGTAATGAAGTGTATATTGAAGTTGTAAAAAAAAAAAAAAAAAAAAAAAAAAAAAAATTCATTTAAAATAAAAATAGAAAACAGCTGCATATATTAATTCTATTATTAGACCCGTTGCAATCGGGGTGGATTTGGTAGCAGGGGCATTTGGCCCTACCTCCCCCCCCCCCCAAATCATTTTCCAAATAATAAATAAATTTCTTCAAAATAATTTTGAAGATATTGGCTGAAAAGATTTCTTAAAAAAAAAAAAAGGTCCTCAGAACTATTTCGTAGTAGTACGGCCCCCCCCCCCCCCCTAATATAATTTTATATATATATATATATATATATATATATATATATATATATATATATATATATATATATATATATATATATATATATATATACATATATATTAATCCTATTATTACATTATTAACATCATTAAACTTTTTTTTTAATTTTAGCAACTTTTATTGATTTATAAAAAAATTATGTAAATTTTAGTTTTGAATATTGCCGACAATATTGTTTGATAAAGAATATTTATTCGGGAACAAACTTTTGTTTGTTGCTCTTTCTTTTATAAGCTTTTTCTGAATCATCTCGATTGATGCTTCTACAGTAGCCTGCCATCATGTATTTTTCCCAAAGTACTTGGTAACAATCTTCCATTGTCTTAAAATCTTGATGGAACTGCTCTTCTTGTTTTTCACTCACATCTCCAAAATTTTAAGGAAACTTTTTAAGGAAACTAGTCAAAATGACTATTTATATAATGAAGTTTTTTATTTTACATCCAAGATACACAAAAGCCTTTTAATTTTCTATCAATTAAACCTGCATAGTTTTTAGCTTTTTTATTTACAAGAAAAAACCGACAAAAAATATTAACATTGTTCTAAAGGCAACATTTTAGGCTTCGCTTTAAGATAACAGTCTTCATTTTGTTGGATTACATACATAAATACCTAATTGTAATAAAGACCTGAAATATTATCTATAGGAGACATGCTTTGTTCATCATCTGATAAAAATAAACCTTTAAAAATTGGAAATTGAACCTTTTCTAAATGTTGAAATGGTTTAATAGCAGGAGGAATGTTAGGATAAGCTATTTTTTGCCGCTTTATTTTTCTAATTCCACAGTTCTTGATAATGCGAAAAAACAAAACCTTACAAAAACCTTTTGAAAAATTGAAAAATTTTAAATTGCAAAAAAACTAGAGCCAACAAAAAAAACGTTCAGATTTAAAATCAGCATTGAAAAATACATAAAAATCAGTTTAAATATCTCATGAAATTTTTTTTTTTTTTTGTAGAAGTGTAATTATAAAGAACTAATAACTATAACTTGATTAACAATAAAAAAATTATTCTTATAAAAATTTCAATAATTTAATTTGTAATTCATATTCATTTGACAAATTTAATCATCTATCACTCTCATTAATACAAGAGTATTTATAAACAATGTAAAACGAAAAGAAATAAACATAAACCAAAGATTTCTTGTAATTCAATAAAAAAAAATAACAAATACTTCATTATAAGAAAATAAACTCAACATTTAACCAAGTTTAAATGTTGAAAAATCAAATTTGAACGTCATTCTAGAATTTATTGACATGCTTTCTGCATTGTTTGGTCAACAAAGTTTGGTCTAGGGATGGCAATCCAGGGATATCGTACAAACTGTTTATCCAGAAATTTCCCGGGATTTCGCGATCGTCAAAAAAATCAGAATTTAATAAAGTTTAAGCTTATAGTTGCAATTAAGTAATTTGTACATCGTCTTTGGTATAGCTGTGTAACTACTTATTCTACTTGCAATGTTTTCCTTTTAAAACTCTCTCTATTTTATTGAAAATACAAACTCAAAACGTTTTGGCTTGTGTGCAAAATTTGTACGATCAAACATATAAAGTATAATATTATATTATTCTATATATATATTATTATCTATCTATATATATATTATTCTATTCTCTATATATATATATATATATATATATATATATATATATATATATATATATATATATATATATATATATATATATATATATATATATATATATATATATATATATATATATATATATATATATATATATATATAGTCTTGTATGGTAGTCGCAAAGTTTTCCCCATAAACTGTTGTTTTAAAGAGCGCGTTAATAAGCCTGACCAGAAAACGTTAAAAAACTTCAAAAAAAATTTTTTTTTTTAAATGATAGACTGCCTGCCCAAACCAAACCCTCAGTCGATGTAGCAGTACTCCCTTGCGAGTCAGGCTATTTGTCAGTCGAAGTAGCAGCACTCCGTTGCGAGTCAGGCTACAAGATAGTCGATGTAGCAACACTCCCTTGTAGCAGCAGGCTATAAGATAGTCGATGTAGCAACACTTACGCATGTTTTAAAAATGTTTTTTAATAAAACAAAAAAAAACACCACTAATTAAAAAAAAACTTTCAAGTTATTATTGGGTAAAAATTTCTCAAAAAATACAAATCTGCACCCTATATCACCAAAATTTTTGAAACTTGGCACAAATGTTTATAGACATATGTTAGGAATGATTGTAATTTTTTTTCATAAAATTCCTTACCGTCGATTTTGACTAAAATCTGAGGGGGGAAAAGTGCCGAAAATCATTTCGTTTACTTTCACCTTAATATGGTGCTTGTAGTGATGCCACAATTCTGAAACTTTGTACCAAAAGAGTTTAAAACCTGTTAAATCCGAAAAATATAGTTTTTTATATGTCAAAACAAGGGAATGTAGCGTATTTTAAGATCCATAAAATACACTTTATAACGCCGAGAAAAAAGGGCATTGACAATTATAGCTATAAAAAATTTGACTGATATAAAAAAAATTTAATTTCGATTTTCTTAAAAATGAAATCAACACCTACTTTTCGAACCAATTTTGTTTTGGCCTTATTTTTAATTGAGGAATTATTGATGTTTAATATAGACACAAAATTTTTTAATATTTTTTAAATTAGACACTTAATATAACCCCACCTTTTACCAATCAATCAAATTAGAAACTAAAAATTTAGTGACTTTATTATCTTTTTCATTTTCATATGATATTTACAACAAAATTTAAACCTATATAAATTTTTTTAAAAAAATACTAAACTTTAGTGATTTTATATATGCTTTACATTCACATTATTTACAAGTTGGTTCACAATACATAATATTAAAAAAAAGAATGGAATGACTTATAAATATAAAAATCTCTACTTCCTTAGGAAAATAATTTTTCTCTTTGGATAAATAGTAGCAAAGTCCTGTTTTTGTTATCGGTACCTCAACTTTGCAAATAATGTGGACATTTTCATGTCCAGCATTGGCTTTCCTTTGGTGGCCATTTAAACGACCGTGCAGGACCATTAGGACACATAAATTTTACAAGCACATCTTTTTCTTCTAAATTAATATCTTCAATGACTCCTATCCACCACTTTTGCTCATAGGAAACACAGGCATAACCACCTGGTACTTGGTTTACAGTTGTTATCTGGATATTTCCAAAGTCATGAATTAAAGCAAATTCTTCATCAACACTGCATAGCTTAGTGCCTACCTAAACAAAATAGTAACATATGCAATTATTCCATTTTACTTATCAAACATGTTTTATTAAATGCATAGATAGCAAATGCAGAGGAAATAAAATAAAATACAAATATATTTGATAATGATTCTGCAAAAATCTAATATCTATTTGAGTTTATCAATAAAAGTTATGCGTGTATTTTAAAATATGGTAAAAGGTATAAGGTATAATTAAAAAAAACTTTACCTTTTGATGGCCAAGTGGTACAAACTGATGGTAACTACGTGTTCCAGGTATTGTATTAGCAGTATCCAATCGTTCTTTAAGAGCGGTTCTCACCAAAGTTAAATCTTCTGATGAAATATATATTAAATTTATGCCTTTAATGTTTTCATTGCAATATTTATACATTGTTTGTGGAGATAAAATATGATTATCCATATCTCTTTGCAAACTTGCTAGTGTTGCCAGACGTTTGACTGTACCACCTATCCCAAGGTTGCTTACCGTGACTAGTTGCAAAAAATTTCCATTTAGCAGTAAAACCAAAATCTTCACAATGGAAACAAAGATTTAACATATTTTTGCAATTCTTATATTGACCTGCACATCTGAAAAGTATTCAATATTTTTGAAAAGTATTCAATATTTTTTATTTGAGGCAAATTTGTTTTTATATCATTGCAAACAACCTCAATAATTTTATAAAGCATGTTCACATCATGGATCATATCATCCGAAATAATACAATGGGATTTGTGCTTGAGAATGCCTTTTTTTTTTGAAATAAATAATGACTGGATGAAGTGTACATTGTAAATTTGTCCAATAAAAGCTTTGCACTTCATCCTGAACTACAAATTTATAGTTTTCTGAAAAATCACCCAGAAATAATGCTGTTACCTCATTCATATCTTCCTTTCTTGATCTACAGTTTTTCCAGTTTTCTACATACTAGTTCATAGTATTCAAACACTGGCTCTTTATTATGTGTCAAGTTTGACCTATATGTTGTTGTCAATTGATCAAATTCAATCTCATCATCATCTTCAAATTCTCCGAGTATATCATAAAGTTTTTTAACCAATGCATTCATAGTTGCTGGGCATTTTTCACATTTCCTCATCATACAGTCTTTATTAGTTATATCACAGACAATATAAGGTAACAATTCTTTGTATGTCATACCAAGAGGATGTAAAAGCAGTTTCAAATTCTGATGAATAGCACAGACGCATACAGAATGTGTTCCTGAGGCACCAACAGTAATACACCATTTAGGTCGCAAGGTGCAAAACCTTGAAAATCCTATTTTTATTTCTGGGTTCTTGGTTTTAAAGGCAACAAACAATTCCTTTAAATTACATTAGAATAAATGTTTTTGCATGTGGACATTTTTCTTTATGCTTACATAGTCCTTTTTACCAGGCATTATACGGCTATGTTCATCGTCTTCGTAAAAATGAATGGATCTTTCATTAACAATATCAAAACATTCATCATTTTTATTTTCACTTATACTTTTTGATAAACAAGTTATAACTTTACTTCAACAGGTTGGAAACAGTTTTTTTCCAGGTATAAGATTTAAACCTATGGTTTCTGCTTCTAACACAGTATGCATTGTAATCACACGTAGAGATGCTTAAAAAGAAAGTAATTAGATTACTTAAATAACATTAATTATATATTATGTAATTTCTATTATATTACTATACAATTTGTTGTATTAATAACTATAAAACATTGAACAAATCTTATTACCAAAAAAACTTATATGACTTATTAATAATGATATTACCTAATGAAATATAAATATATAGATTTTTACCTCTACACATCTTTTGGTGACTCAGAAATGGATTACAGCAACTTTTCTGATTACCCTCATATCTTACAACTAACATATCATGATGGTGTGTGCATATATTAGTAATTTGTTCTTGTTTCAGATTTGTTCGTTTTTCAGGTATCTTACGATCATTGCTGTCAATATCTTCAATCAGATTTCTTTCTTGAGTATATGATTGTTTATAACAAGCTCCATAATTATTTACAAAGCAGCAATTAATTTTGTTATCCATATAAAAATATAATGAGGAATCTCTGTCTAAACACTTAATATAAGAAATCTTAAATAATTTTAATGTCCCTAACAAAAAAAGTACACTTGAACACAAACAATATCATATCAATATGGGCGCTACTCGACTTTCTCCGCCCCCCCCCCCCCCTGTTTTTATGATTGATTTTTATAGAGTATATTATACTGATTCTAAATCATTTAAAAACATAGGTCTGAAAACTTGAGGAAAGTACTCTAATTTGATGTTAAAGTATAAAAATCCACATTAAAAACGCTAATATTAGCCATCTTTGTCATACTCGGTTATAATAAAATTCTTTTTCAATAAAAACTTTGAAAAACCCTGGTTTCTATCGACGCTTCAATTTAAAACGCATTTTTTATTGATTTCAAAATCATGTACATTTAATTGCGCCAATTCCTATTTGTCAGTAGATATGTACATTTATTTACGCCAATTCCTATTTGTCAGTCGATGTATGTATATTTAATCGCGCCAATTCCTATTTGTCAGTCGATACATGTACATTTAGTTGCGCCAATTCCTATTTGTCAGTCGATGTATGTACACATCATAAAATATAAAAACAACAATAAAAACTGGGTTGCTAGTTAAAAAAATAATTACCTAAATTTTAAAAACAGTGTTAAAATGTTTTTAAAAAGATGGTGGAATATTAGCGTTTTTTAATGTGGATTTTTATACTTTAACACCAGTTTAGAGTACTTTCCTCAAGTTTTCAGACCTATGTTTTTATATGATTTAGAATCAGTATAATATACTCTATAAAAATAAATCATAAAAACAGGGGGGGGGGAGAAAGTTGAATAGCGCCATCAACATGTATTTATAAAGAACATATTGCTTGAACAAATAGCTATTAGTTTAATAGACATATTTTAAATGTCTAACTATCTACTAATTATTGTAAATTCTCCATTAACTACTTACAAAAAGTTGTGTAAAAGTAAAAGATAACTAAATATAATTTTATTTAGTTATGTAACTTAACAATGTTAACCCTTTGAGCGCTCGATAAAATTCAAACGCCGTTCAGAAAAATTGAACTAAAAAAATATCGGCAAAAAAAATCGCCAATAAACGTAACAAAAAAACAAACAAACAAAAAAACAACTATTTTTGAACTTTTTTATTTTTTTGTAGGTTATATAAGTTTAAAAGAAGTTTAATGATTTTAATGCACAACTGTTGTGTGATAATTGGAAAAACAGGCTGGACACAGTCCAACACCACATAACTGACACTGCCAACTTGTGCGGACTCGAGATTGGTGCCCAGCTACACATTTTATTTTTTTTCCTGCACCAACCTTAACAAGATTGTGACCATATAATGGATTGCTACTTGCAGTGTGTTGGGTAGGTGGATATGGGACAATTGTACTTCTACCCACTTCAATCTCTCTTGATGTTCTTCTTTTAGAAATTACTTTTACTGGAAAATAACCTCCGGCTAAACTTTCCACTATAGCCATCATAAAATCTATTCTTGACATTGGCTTTTATTCATTTGTATTGAGCTTATACAATAAATAGCTATTTAAAATTGCTCTACCAAATAAAGAAAAAGCAACTTTAGTAGTCCACTTTATTGTTCTACGCTCAGACAAGTACACATAGAGCTGTGCATCACCCAAATCTACACCCCCCCCCCATGGTTTTATTGTAAAGGGCAACAACATTTGGTTTCATAACTATATTTCCTCTTCTGTTACGCATTTCAGTAAAACCTGCTTTGGCAACAGTAGATAATAATATAGGCTTTTTTTTACCATCTTGGTATGCCACACACAACAAGGGACCTTTTCTATATTGGCATACCTCCTTATTTTTTAATTTCGATTTAATGCAGGTTTCTGGTAGGCCTTTCCTGTTGACTCTTACTGTGCCTGTTGCAGTAGTCTGATGAGCATAAAGATCTAATAACAGTTGAGGAGAAGTATAATAATTGTCAATACCTAAGTGATGACCTTGGTGGAGGAAATTAGTTTGGGGCAAAAGATGAAAAACTAAACTATAAGTCATACCATAGGCAATGGCTGCTACATCTGGGTCTTTTCTTCCTTTGTAAATTTCAAATTGACACAAATAACCGTTAGTGCTGTCTGAAACACACCATAACTTAATCCCAAACCTAGAATGACATTTGTTTGGCATATATTGACGCAGATGTGGTGTCTTTCCTTTGTAGCCAACGATACTCTCATCTATAGAAATGTCTTTTTGTGGATAATAATAATATAGAAATTTGTTATTAAAATGTTCAACTAAAAACTGAATTTTATAAATTTTATTGAGTGGTTGTTGATTTGGTATATGGATGTCTGTAAAATGAAGAAATTTAAGCAAAAGTTGAAACCGGTCACGATTGAAGTGGGTAACAAACCAGGGTGTAGATGCACAAGGATGACTTATATCCCAGTAAAGTTTAAGATTAGCTTTTTTGATGAGACCCATGTTGATTAAGACTCCAAGGAAAGCTCTTATCTCTAAAAGATTGGTCTTTCCTTGTTTAATCCATCCATGACCTCTTGATGTTGGATGGGACCTCAAATGTTGTTGATTGTTTTGAATCCACGTTTCAGCATAACTATTAGTAAAATTTACTATATTTTGCAAAAATTCAGTTGTAAAAAACAAGTCCATATATTCAATAGGCTTAGACTCAGGTGAAATTGAGTGCTTGGGTACTGATTCACCAGTAAAGTGAACAAAATTAGGACCATTTTCATCTTTTAGAACAAATAACCAATCGTCTAAAACATTACCACCAACATCACCTACATCAACATCGCCATCAGAACTGAAGTCTACATAAAAATTAAAATAAAAACTTCAAATTATCATACTAGGTGATATATTTGTATAAATAATATTGTTTACAATTTTTTAATTAAAGTTATCGTGCTTTCATCAAACAAACTGTCATCGCTGGAACTTAAAAATACTTCGCTGGTACAACTCTCGTCATCCATACAACTTTCTTTACTGTCGCTCATTTTCAAAACCAAATATATAACAACAATATACCAAAAGATAGAGAAATATGTGCTCTATTCAATGCTACCATTTTTAATGAACAATCAGCGGTATTTTGCTGTAAAAAGTCATAGTTTCAAAGACCACTTTTAAAGCCACGATCGTGGCTCTTCCACTGATCTCTATAATAACTGGATAGCGCATCTCCTAATAAAATTTCGAAATTTTTGAAGCCAAAAGACGCCATATTGGAAAGCCCCAGAATTTATAAATCCGTAGTTGCGTTAAACTTATATGCGCTTAAAACACAGATTTCGCTTGATAAATAAAAAAATGCAAAAACCTTATAAATGCATTGATTATTAAAAACCGAGTAAATCTGATGTTATATGTTCAGATTATTTCATGGAGAGTGACATATATATATATATATATATATATATATATATATATATATATATATATATATATATATATATATATATATATATATATATATATATATATATATATATATATATATATATATATATATATATATACATATATATATATATATATATATATATATATATATATATATATATATATATATATATATATATATTATATATATATATATATATATATATATATATATATATATATATATATATATATATATATATATATATATATATATATATATATATATATATATATATATATATATATATATATAAATTATGTATACAGGGTGGCCAGCCACTTTCAAGAATTAAATTCCCTGACTTTTTATGTTTTTCCCTGACTCAGTTATATTTTGAAGTGTGAATTTTTAAGTTTTGTTGTTTGGGAGTAAGTAAAAAAAAACCTTTAAAAAAAATTAAATTTTCAAAAAAGACATTTTTCCCTGATTTTCCTCACAAGAAAAAAATTCCCTGACTTTTCCATGATTTCCAGTTAGCTGGCCACCCTGGTATAATATTATTATAATAGCATGCAAGTGTATATTAGTATGCACCTTTTGATTCTTGATTGCCCTCTGCAAAATGCCTGAGGCTTGTAACATATTTGCAAGGTAAACAGCTTACAAGTTTGCTGTATGAATCATTAGTTAGGCAATGTGATTGTAACACAACCTAAAGGTTCCTTAGGCAACATATAGCAAATCTTTATATTTACTTTTAATAATTTTGTTCTTGCGTGTATATATATATATATATATATATATATATATATATATATATATATATATATATATATATATATATATATATATATATATAAGTAGTAAGAGATTTACCGGTATTGGCTTATTTTTTATTTTCAACCAAATTTTCAACCATAAATTAATATTAATATTGGGGTTAACATTGAACCATGTTGTATATAAATTATTTCAACAAGAAATAATTTTTTATTTTAAAAAAATTGATTTTTTAAAATAAGTGTTAATTTTTATTTCTTGTTATGAAATATTACGAAAAATTCTTAAAATGACGTCACGTGACTTTTTCTTAATAATAAATTTGATCTGGTGTTTTTAACTTTTCTTTTTTTAATCTTTCCTTTTCTAACTTTTCAGCATGTAATTTAATTTTATTTTGCAAATAACGAGCTAAACTTATTCTTCTTTTATAACTTCCTAATTTAATATCTTTATTTGTACAATCCATTTCTTATTTTTTAATTTATAATTTATGTAAAGAAATATATTTTCAATTTTTTTCTTGTGCGCTAATTGAAGCTAATTGAAAGGTAATACATTATAGCAATATCAATTAAATTATCAGGTCCTCTTAAATTTAATTCATCATAGAAATATTCAAGAATATGCGAATGATCATTTTTTACAGCCTTAATAAACGATTCATCATTTACTTTATAATTTTGAGATATTAAATATTTAATAATATCTAAATTTCCTTCTTCAGCAGCATAATCAATTAAATTTTTAGGTCCTTTTAAATTTAATTCCGAATGAAAATATTCAAGAATATGCAAATGATCATTTTTTACAGCCTTAATAAACGATTCATCATTTACTTTATAATTTAAAGATATTAAATATTTAACAGTATTTAAGTCTCCATTAAATACAGCCATTTCAATTAAATTTTTAGGTCCTTTTAAATTTAATTCCGAATGAAAATATTCAAGAATATGCAAATGACAATTCATAGTAGCAAAAATAAAAGATAAATCAGTTACTTTATAATTTAATGATATTAAATATTTAACACTATCTAATTGTCCATAATAAGCAGCATAATCAATTGCACATCCTGTTCCTTTTTCTCCTAATTGAACTAATAATTTAATTAGATCATTTCTACCTATACTTTCAGCAAAGTCAATTTTATTCCAAATATCTTTATAACCTTCTTTTTTTAATATTTCAGTAATATAATATATTTGAGTTGAAGGCTTAATTATGTTTTTTATTAAAAAATTATTATTCTCAATATTATTTTCCATTCTTTTTTTATATACACAAGAAAATTATTTAAATCATTTTCAAATTTTTTTTATTTTTTTAATGCGCATGCGCTAGATTTGCTTACGCGTAGTAGCGCTTATGCATAGTAGAATTGTCTTAACAATATTATAAAGGATCTCTTATAGCATATAATTCTAGTTCTGTTGCTACAAATGGAAGAGTACTATTTTGTATATAATTATCAAATATAGGCATAGCAGGTCGTCCATTATATAAATAGTTTATATTTTGACATACAGGTGCCCAATAACCACCACTTGTATCTAGTGTAAGTACTGCTCCAGAATTCATCATACTTTTTGTAGTTGTCAAATTTAAACCGCAAAATCCTTGTCCTAATTCTGTACATCCAAATGGTGTATCTGTTGATATGAGTTGTGCAACATTTTGGTAAGCCATAGACATCATTGGAAGGAATGCTTGTTTAAATATAATACTATTCCATACATCATTAATTTTATATTTAAGTCTATATTTATAATAGCCATCTTTGTTTTTATACTGCCAATTAGTAAATAATGTACTATATAATTGAGCAGTAGATGGAGTAGAATTAAATACTCTATAGGCACTATAATAATTGTTAAGAAATAAATATCCAGCAACTTGTCTAACTAATAATACTTCTCCAGAATTATATGGTGTTCCATAACCACCACCATATATATTATTCATTGCAATTGGTATTGCTTCAAAAAATTTGTTTGCTAAAAATATTTGTTGTCTTGAATCATAATGTACTCCATCGAAATTTGCACTCCTAAGACTGGGAGGCATACCATCTAGAGATATACTAGCTGTATATGGAGAAAAATTTATAATATTTTTTAATGCATCTTGAACTTGAGTTGCTGTAGTTGAGTTTGCTTGAACCCATGAAGATAGCATTTGAAATGTAATGAATAGCATTTTATTTGCTTTTATTTGTGAGATTGGCAATGTATCAAATTGGCTTGATGAGTATGCAATATAATCTCTAATGGTTTGTATAAAATTCATTAGAATATATGCATAGTTATCACACCAACCGGTTTTAGAATCATCTTCTCCTTGACTCCAAGTCATACAGCAAAACTCTGCGTTATAATGTGATGAAATGTAATTGATTTTACGAGTTAAATTTTTAAAACCAGTTCCATACGGCATAAAATAATCATTACTGAAACTTTTAGCAGTTAGCATGCATGGAAGTATCATTAAACATTCATCAGGATTTATCATATTTAATGTATTCGCACCTTCAGCATCTTGCATTATAAGCCCAGCAAGTATTGAACCATATCCTGCCCAACAATTATTATCTGTTTCATTTACATCTAGTCTCAATGAACAAGGAAGTAACACATCATTTTGTCCATTACCCATCGCAAATTGGACTATTCGTCTGTTCATATAATTTACATTAGTTATTGATTGAGATAAACCCCATTCTCTACCAGCATATGTATTTGATTGACCAGCTATAATCAAAACTTTATATTTATGTTGATAAGGAATTAAGCGATCTACATAATTCTTTGTAGCTGCATCCTGTGCATTGGTAGGATTAGTTACATTAATCAATTTATTTGAATTCAAATTAATATTTGCATTCATACTATTAGTTCCATCTAGTCTTAGACATGCACTGATAGAAGTTTGATTATTATCTACATAATTCTTTGTAGCTGCATCCTGTGCATTAGTAGGATTAGCTACGTTGATCAATTTATGTGAATTCAAATTTATATTAGCACTCATACTATTAGTTCCATCTAGTCTTAGACATGCACTGCTAGAAGTTTGATTGTTATCTACATAATTTTTCGTAGCTGCATCTTGTGCATCTGTAGGATCAGCTACATTGATTAATTTATGTGAATTTAAATCAACATCAGTAGTGGCTGTATTGCCAACATTAATGTTGATATTTAATCCATCTGTTGTGTAACCATATAATGAATTACTACCAGCTATATTCATACTCATTTTTATATACTATATATATTTTTTTTAAATCACTATGTGATTATTGCTTCGCTAATTCAGTATAATGAGTTTTCAATACTTTGAAAATCAACACCTTCATCAAGCTTTTTTAATACATAAAGGCACAAGTGTCCGCAAAAAGAAGTGTCTCCAAACTGAATTCTTTTACTATTATAATAAACAGGACTGTGTAAATATTGAACAAGTTCAACTGGAGGTGGTAATGCATAAGAATCAAAACTTAATTTTTCTTCTCCATCTTTATACCAACAAATCCAATGAAATCCATTCGTACTTGAATCTCCAGTATTTAATATTCCACATTCTTTGTTTTGTGTATTTTTAGGTAATTCATCTCTTACAAATACACCTCTAAAATTTTTAATTTTTAATTTTTTTGCTGCTTTTATTAACTGAAAGTTTGTTAAGGGTACATTGGGTAATATAATTCCTTCAACATTGATATGTTTGTCCATTTTTATTACTTTATTAGATTTTTTTAGATCTTTTTAAGATATAAAAAATAACTTACCTGTTTGCCTGCCTGTTTGCCTGCCTGCCTGCCTGCCTGCTTATTTCCAATCAATCTGAAATGAAAAGTTGGGTTTGTCAATTATTTCACTTTCATTCCAATCAATCTGAAATGAAAAGTTGGGTTCTGAAGGAACCAATGTTTTATTCTCTTTTAATTTATAATGTCCATATGCTAATGTGTGAATACCATCTTCTTGAATTACTCTTTTATCATCTTCTGCACTCAATGCTATTTTGTTTATTTCTTCAGTATAAACATCATGTAAATGAGATCTTATGACATTCATTTTTCTCATTTGATCTTTCTTATTTATAAGGCAGTCTTTATAATCTTCATGTGTAATATAATTTTTTACTACATTTCTCTTTACTCCTTTACATCTCTTTTTATCTTCTTCATCTATTTTGTAAGAATACAACTTTGATCTGAGTCCAATAAATTCCGTAATTTGTTTTCCTGCTGACTCATCTTTAAACATTCCCAATACTTTCTTATTTACACCAACTTTAAATCCATTTTGAACAGCTGGATGATCTTTATTAAATTCACTTGTATCAAATTTACTTTCAATATCATTAGAAATATCTTTATAAAAATCTTCTGTTTTTATTTCATAGATTAATGAATCTGTATCTGTATATAATAGTTTAGCTTTATCTCCATATTTATTTTTCATGTAATCATAATGAAATTCATACATTAGTGTTTTGCTCAAATCTAAAATACACATACCCAAGTAAATGGGTTTGTTATAAACTAGTTTTGTTCTTTTCATATGTATTGCAATTAAATTTTCATCAAATATCGTTCTACTTTCATAATTTGGTTTTGATGATAATTTAATAGCTTCTTCTCTTTTAGAAACTAATCTCACATCAACTCTGTTTTCAATGTTTTCCATTGTTTTTCCAAACACTGAATTGTTCATAAGTTTGAAAAAGTCCTTTTCAAAATCATTTGTTGCTTTTGTTCTTAGATTTGTATTGAGTTCAATGTATTTACTTAACCATGCACTTTCTTCAAACTTTATTCCTCTGTGAATTTTTGTTATTTTCATTCCTAATCTTTCATACAGTTTTAAGTTTTCATAGTGTATGATATAATTTTTCTTATGATTTAAATTAGGTATTAATTTATCAACTTTGTCTATTTTTAATCTTTCAGGGGCTAGAGGATAATCATTATGAACATCATGTAAATGTTCAGGATATTCCAAATCTACATCTAATATGCAAGAAGTAGATTTCCAATTTTTTAATTCTTCTTCATACATCCATTCAAATCCATGTGTTGGAAGGGGTTTGCTCATAGCCCACCCATATAAATTATTTGCATCTAGATACTGTATGTAAGTAGATTCTTTACTTTCATCATAATTTTCAATATATTTATTGTTAGCAGTTCCTAACCTGTTAGAAACCATACTAATTCCACCTCTTATTCCTTCTTTTATCATTAAGATCATATCATAATCACTTAATAATTCTAATTTTACTTCTGTTATTTTCAACGCAGCATCCCAAGCTAATCCTGGTGATGTATAGTACCAAGCAGGATCTAATTTATAATTGTTAAAACAGACATCTCTAAAATTCTCAAAGACATCAGCTAGTAGTAATACATCAGATTCGTTATATAAATTATGGTAATCTCTAAATGTTTTACATTGAAACTTTTCCCATACATTTTGTGCATGTAAATAATCTTCATCACTTATTCCTTCATCATTTAATCTTGAATAAAATGATTCTTTTGGTGGTAATTGTGTTTCATTTAATTTATCAATAGAGTCAACCCATTCATAAGGATAAACACCTTTTCTTAACAATAAATTGAGTTCATTTCCAGAATAGTATTTACTCAAATTTTTACATTGATCTTTTGACAAATTTTTAGTTAAACTATCTAAACTAGCAGCCATAAATTTAAAACTATCGAGAAAACGTAGTTGTAGTTTAACTTCAACTTTTTTACCTTTTTTATTCGTAAATTCATTTACTTTAAGTTCTTTAGAAAAGCTGATATATTTTTCTTCATTGTTAGGAATGCAATTTAATTTTCCTCCTTCTGATTTTCCTCCTTCTGATTTTCCTCCTTCTGATTTTCCTCCTTCTGATTTTCCTCCTTCTGATTTTCCTCCTTCTGACAATTTCTTTATGAACAAGTGAGAGTCATAAC